TAAAGGGTAGGGAGGGAGAGGGGAGGGGAAGAAAGAAGGGTAATGGTGTAGAGGAAGGGAGGGAATGAGTGAGGGAAGGTTGAGGGTAAAGCGACAATGGACGGGGAAGAGGAGGATAAAAAAAAAAGGAAATACGATAAGAAGGATATACAACAAAAACACAGACCAATACATATTAATATGCTATGTACAAAAGCCAAGAATTATATCCAAAAACACCGTACCTCATCTGAAAAGTTATGAAAAACACATTTCTTAATCTATTCGTCTATCTATCTATCAAGTATCAACTCACTGTCTCGTCGGCGCATAGATGAACCTCACACTGAAGAATTCGTCGCCATGGTCAGCAATGAAGCGCTGACTCACGTTACGGTACACGGCGACCGAATCTGCGGGCGTCAGCTCTGTGCCGTCGAGCTCGTACAGCTGGGGAGAGGAGCAAGGCAGGCGGTCAACATATATACAAAAAAAGACTTTCATCAGACTAGTTATAAAGCAAATATAAGAGAGAGAAAATAAATGAAGAACGATATTCATAAAGCCTGTGATCGTGATAGATGAGGGATGGTAATAATAATGATGACTGATGGTCATTGATAATAACACAACTCAATAACTATGCTAATAATAGCATCACGAGTAACTACACCACACATCCAGCTACACCCCCACCCTAATTAACCCCCCCTATCCCTTCTCCCTCCCCCCCGTATGACTCACCGGCGGCAATGTGCCCCTGAATTCAATTGCAAGCACGTTATCGGCGGCGAATTCCTGCAGGACACGGTACAGGTACGCTTCCCAGGCAGGCCGGTACATCACCATGTCCGTCATAGCGATGAGTCCATGCTCGAAGGCTTGCCACACGCTGTTGATGTCTGGGTATTTTTCTGTCAGGGAGATAGGGGTCAAAATCATAATCATTTTTTATTTATTTATTTATTTTCTTTTTTACTGTTCTTTTTCAGAAGAGGGAGTTAGTTGTTGTGATTTTCTGGTCTGGACTATTATTATTATTATTATCATTATCGTTATTAGATTATTATTATCATCATCATCATCATCATCATCATCACTGTCATCACAGCATCATCGTTGTCATCATCATCATCATCATTATTATTATTATTATTATTATTATTATTATTATTATTATTATTATTATTATTATTATTATTATAAGGGACGGTTGTGGTTGTTACTAAGAGCTGCTTGTTCCGTCCGAGGCGCTGGTTTATGTGTTTGCCTTGTTATCGATTTCCTATTATTTATATCCTTAAATTAGTTAATTACTGTTATTGTTCTAGTTGCTGTGGTATGTGTGTTATTTGGGTAATATTTTATCATGTGTGTTGCTTTTTTATTTTAACTTCGTTGCAGTTGATATAATTTGCCAGTTCCATGTATTTTATTGAAGATAATATGCTCTGTGTATGTGTCCAAATGCGCACGTGTGTTTGTATTCGCATTTTCTGCCCGCATACAATGCCTTTTCCGAACAGACTGATTTTAACCTAATACTGCATTAACAAAACAACCAAGTCCATAAATAAGAAATATATATCTACCTTCGGGATTTGCCGTTATGAGGGAGAACTTCTCGACGAGTTCCTGGTCAAACTCATCGTCGCTCGGGTACGTGGCGCGAACTTCACTCACGAGCTGCCAGTTGCAAGATGCGTCGGGGGTTGCCATGAATCTGGGTTGGGGAGGGAGGTGGGGCTTAGTGGGGACTCGGGCTTTGCAATTCTTATACTGGTTTATATGGATTCGCGGTTTATTCAGTGGTGGTGGTAATAATGGAGGTGATGGCAGTGAAGGTGTTGGAGGTGGTGGCGGTGGTGGTGGTGGTAGTAATAGTAGCAGTAATAGTAATGATGTTAGTTTTGGTGTTAATGTTATTACTCCTGTCATTTTTTTACTTATATTATTGTTATTACTATCACTATTATCATATAAATACCGCCATAACCATCATTACTACTACTATGCCCATGACATAATGATCATTCATATCACCATAATCATTACCAGTCCTACCTTTATCACTATAAATGTAAACATTATTGGAGTCATAATGACATAAGTAACCGGGTAACTTACTTGGTCAGCAGTTGGCCCTCGCTGGTGTAACACATGTATAAATTTTCCCAGTAAGTCAGTTCTTCAACAACCCAAGCAACAGAAGCCAAAGTCGTATCGTGCAAGTGCAAAGCCACCCCTGCAACACAGATTGCAAGGTCAGAAAGGGGAAATCTCGTGCAGATAAACTGTATCCTGCATGAGGTGGGTAAATATAACTAAATTCAAAACGAAAGATCAGAATATCTCATATAAGCATGAGATATCGAATACTGTACGGTGAAGTTATTCATTCTCAATCTTAATTCAGTTTTATTTTATTGTTATAATGTATTTTTTTTTTCCTTTTCTTTTCTTTCCGTTTCTTCTTTGTCACTACGAGATCTGAACCCACCTTTAGGCATCATTCTCACCA